AACACTTGGTAGCTGTCAATTTGGGTGACCAAGAGATGGACCAGCCTACAATGCCATCAACGAAGAAATCCACTTTCATTGGGAGTTTGGCCAAACCGGCCTTCGTCCCGGGGATCAGTCCTATTTCCGGAGACAACTCTTACTTTGTCTCCAGCAAGCAAACACAAATGGGAGGAGAGCGTCGAGAAACCCGGCGAACAGCCGCTGTAGATGAGTTGATTCAGCCCAGGAGTGACCAAAGTTATGAAAGCAACCTCCTGAAAAGCTGGGTGATCTGGGGCACACGAGACCTCAGCCAACAACCCCTTAACCAAACGCCCACAAAGCACAAACAAGAAAAGATGAGCCACTGCACTTGTGGCCCCCAAGCACCACAAACACAATACATGCACTTGCACTTTGCTTTTCTCCCTATACACTAGCTACCCTAGCTAGCTAGAGAACGAGGAGCCACTACACGTACCGTTACCGGTAGCTGTTTGCTTGTACCAGGTACCAGGCATCAGGAACAGGAAGACAGGTCACACTAAAATCCGCGCTTGACCGTCCGTCGTCAGTTTCGGCCTTATTGAGTGGTTGAAGCACTTTTCTGGAGATTTAAAAGACAATTCTGGGGGTGTGCTACTCCCTATATAAAAGCAATTAACAAGGAATCTTTAATTGCCAAAAACCATCACTGTCGCACCGTAGCGCGCCCAACATACTCTACACGAGCGAGAAGCTTAGATTCGCTGAATCAGTTCTTGCTTCCGGACGATGACAGACCGATGGTTGAGGTTTTAGTGTGACCTGTCTTAGGTCCTGGTAGAACCTCACCCCTCCACAGATACCTCAACTACACTGTTATTTTGAATCATCTTTTATTTTTACCCCAAGCTTCAGAAGCGAGGGAAAGATACCGATGTCAACAGTCAACACCATGACATTGTAAACCAACAAACATTATCCAACAGCATCACATCACGATGACGGAGCAGAAGCTATCAATGAACTGGAAGCAAGCCCTCTTACTTGGCCTGTTCCTAATATGCACCCCGAGTTTGTGCTCTGCCTTTATCATCGTCCCACAGAGCCATGGTGGGAATAGCCTTTATAATAAGCCGTCAACACGAAGTCCTTTTGGCAACCATCAAGACGCCACCATGAGCAGCACACAACTGAGTCTATTTTCCTGGTTTTCGTCTTTGCAAATGCCATGGTCCAAAGACGACACTAGCAGCAGTAAGGATGGAAAGGAAGAAGAAGTCTGGGGAAGTGGAAACAAGAACAGCATGGACAAGAACAAAGACGATAATAAATCTGGGTTGGGTGGTGTCGCCGGTATCATGGATAGCATGGAGAATTTCAAGACAGCCCAGCAAGTCGGCAAAATGACCAATTCTCTAGTACAGGATTTGGCATCAACTACAATTGAAGGTGTGGCTGTGGAAGGAAAAGTCAAGGTGTATGTGGACGGACAACAACGACCCTTGAATGTTCAGATCGATGAGGGGTATCTGGCCGGCGTAGATTCCTCGGATCTATCAGCTGCCTTGGCCGTTGCCATGAAAGATGCGTACCGAAAGTCTTCGGAACGAATGGACGATAAAATGAAGTCGTTCTACGTAGACTTGGGCTTAAAATAGATACTATACTGTATTTGGGCGCTCGCCGGCAAGATGGTTCCCCCCAGTTTCTGGGGCCACACACGGTGACCTCTTTAGTCCAACAGGACCCAAAGCAAGCCATAAAGAGTGGAACTCGTGGATGTTCAACTGTAGACCACCGCCAATGGAAATGTAAGCTGACCCTGTCAATAATGCAGGCTATAATGCTTCAGTTAGTTCCACGGGCCCGAACGCCCACAGTGTCTACCTACATGTATGGAGTGCGAGCCATCGACGTAGTCTGCGAAGTTGTCTATCTGATTGCAATTCCAACACGAATTGAAGAAACTCGTAAGTCTGGCAACCTGCTGTGCGGCGGGACCATAACAACTTCATCCCACCTTAGAACCGGTCCTACTTTGACATTGTAACATTTTAGAAGGCATCAGCCCAGGATGTTCCTCCTGGTTTGGTTCCAACAAGCGTGCTCTTACTAACTAGCTAGGGTATACATCATCTCATGTTGTATGTACTCTTTTACTTTTTCATTAGCCTACTGCAGCTTTCAATCTACCAACCAACCGACCCTCTTTTACTCACTTACTTGGCGGCAGCCTTTTCGTTCTTGTGCAGTCCACTGGTCAAGAACAACTTGCCCAGACTACCTCCGGCAAACTTGTCCATTTGATTGCAATAAGATCGAATTTGGTTGGACACGAGCAATGATTCCATTCGTTTCGGCGCACTACTGGACGCCCATCCTTCGCTGTCATCGACTTCTTCCTTTTTGTTGTTATTGTTGTTATTGTTGCGATTGCCACCACGTTGATTGAGTTGTCGTGTGTAGTATTGAAACTTTTGTTGTTCGGCAGCGAGTTCGTCGACCCATGTACACAAGTATTCCAAGTGTTTTTCGAGGTAGGGATTGGTACTGAGGTCGAGTCGATCAAATGTGGTGTCGGCATTGACCGTCAAGGAGGCTCCTCCCGTGGTGACATTGTACAAGAGATCCCCGGAAGCGGATCCGTCCGTGACGACCATATCCGCCAAGAGTGCTCGTACCAATCCCGGATTGGTGAGTTTGACGGGCACTGGTTCGAAAATGTTGTTGGGATCAATGTAGGTATTTTTGCCTTGCTTCTTGTACTCCAAACATGCGTCGGTCAATCGGTAGCACTTGAGGGTGAGATTCCCGTGGGCCGTTTGCATGGGATCGTATAGGACGACAATGGCATTGGCACTGAGATCGGTCTGATAGGAGAATTGGTTTTCGAGGAGCGCCGTGGTGGAGTAGATGCCAAGGTACATGCTCTGATACCATCCGACGCAGTTGTTGTCGACATTGACTTCTCGCAACATGCGCATCATTTCGAGTTGATATTCGTGTCCTTCCAGTCCACCGGCAACGTCGTCACTATCGTTTTCCATGTTTTTGTCGCGATTCCTTGTTTCCGGAAACGCAAATGCGTGGGTTACCTCCAAGACCCCGTTTTCCACGAGACCCAACAACGACCCCGTCACCATTTGAGGGAGACAATCATGACAGTGTTTTACAATCTTCAACAGGGCCTGTTGATAATTGATTATGGATAGATAATGGATAACGATAGATATAAGTAGATCAATGGATTGAAGAGGGACAGACAATAAGATGGACAAAATGAGAAAGACGGATGGGTAGCAAGGCAATGCACTTATGAAGATGATGCTACCCCAAGCTGACGTACCAGACCCTCAATATTAACTTCCTTAACTCGCTCTCCTGCGTCTATCACGGCGGCCATTGTTGCTTCTTCTGTTCTATTTGAGACTGGTACTTACTAGTAATCAAGTGGAAGACCAGCTTGTCTGTTGTGGACTATTGGACTCGACTTCGAGAGACGATGGGGATGAAGGTTGGAGGTTGCCAAAGGCGCAAGCTAGAGCCAACGAGACGAGGCAAACGAGTTTGTCTCAGATCACTTTCGCGCGATCTCGCGCACAAGCTTCTCCCAACCGCACACCGCTGACCGCACTCACGTTTCGCCGTTTCATCCTTCCGTCAGGTAGGTTTGGATCCGCAAGATTTTGCCTCATTATTCCTTCTCTGCATCCATCAGCAGCACCAGGTAACAATCATTGTTCTTGTCTATCCACATTACTAGCTAGTAGTTTTAATATTAGTTAAATAAATCAACAAAGCACCATGCCAGAAGAAGGAAAGCAGCAAGGCGCCAACACGGACGTTTGTCCCGAAGGCGTAGATGCCAAGGAATGGGAGGCCATGTCCAAGAATGCCAAGAAAAAGTTACTCAAGAAATTGGAAAACGACAAGAAGAAGGCCGAAAAGGATGCCAAGAAAAAGGAAGAAGCTGCCAAGAAAAAGGCTGGAGGAGGAGGAGAAGAAAAATTCAAGGCGGGAGAAGAAAACTTGGATCCCACTCAATTCAAGGCCAACCGAGAAGCCATGGTCAAGACCATGGAAGCGGAAGGTGGGAATCCGTATCCCCACAAGTTTCACGTCGATCTGCGAATTCCCGATTTTGTGGCCAAATTTGCCGACACCACCACAGCGGGAGAACGCATCGAAGGAACCGTCGTTTCGGTAGCGGGACGAATTGTGTCCGTGCGAGGACAAGGCAAATTGTTCTTTTACGATATTAGTGGCGACGGAGCCAAGGTACAGATCATGTCCGATCTCAAGACATTTCATTCCGAAGAAGCCTTCAACAAGATTCATCGAACATTGCGACCCGGGGATATTGTCGGGGTCAAGGGAACGCCCGGAAAGAGTAAAAACGGAGAACTCTCCATTTTCCCACAGGATATGCAACTTCTCAGTCCCTGCTTGCACTCACTGCCCTTTTCCAAGGGAGATTCCTGTCTCGGTGGTCTCGCCAACATGGAAACACGGTATCGTCAACGTTATCTCGATCTTATCATCAACTCGGATGTTCGCAAGACTTTTGAAATTCGAGCCAGAATCATCAATTCCATTCGCAAATACCTCGATGAGCGACATTTTATTGAAGTCGAAACACCCATGATGAACATGATCCCCGGTGGAGCCACGGCCAAACCATTCATCACCTACCACAATGATCTCAGTATGGACCTATACTTGCGTGTCGCGCCAGAACTATACCTCAAGATGCTCGTCGTGGGTGGACTCGATCGCGTCTACGAAATTGGACGCCAATTCCGAAACGAAGGCATTGACCTGACACACAATCCAGAATTCACCACGCTGGAATTCTACCAAGCATACGCCGATTACGAAGATCTCATGAACATGTGCGAAGAACTCGTCAGTGGCATGGTCAAGTCCATCACCGGGGACTACAAGATCAAGTACTCCCCCAAGCCGGGACAACCCGAAGTGGAAATTGACTTTACACCACCCTTCAAGCGCATATCCATGATTGAAGGACTGGAAGAGAAAATGAATACCAAGTTCCCCGAAATGGATGACCCCGAGATTGAACAGAAACTCATTGCACTGCTCAATGAACACAAATTGGAATGTGCACCACCACAAACAGTAGCACGGTTGCTGGATACCTTTGTGGGGGAATTTCTGGAGGACGGGATCATTCATCCAACGTTCATTACGGAACATCCGCAGATTATGAGTCCGTTGGCCAAGTATCATCGATCCAAGAAGGGTTTGACGGAACGATTCGAACTGTTTGCCGCTGGACGAGAGGTAAGAAGATGGATGCGAGCATTGTTTTTGTCTTGCCACGTGTTTGTTCTATTTGCTTGCTTGCTTGCTAAAACACGATTTTTTCTTTTAATTTTCCAGTTGGCAAATGCCTACACGGAATTGAACAACCCCGTAGTGCAGTACCAACTCTTTTTGGATCAGGCCAAGGCAGGCAGTGCGGGAGATGACGAAGCCATGGTTATGGATGATTCCTTCATCACCGCCCTGGAACACGGACTGCCACCAACGGGCGGCTTCGGTTTGGGTGTGGATCGGCTCACCATGTTCCTGGCCAACAAGAACAACATCAAGGAAGTCCTGTTGTTCCCGGCTATGAAGCCCACGGATGAACAAATGCAGTTGATTGCCGCAAATGCACCCAAGAGGGACGACAATGCCAAAAAGAACTAGGGCGCGTCGAGTGTGCTCGCGAGGGCACTATTACCTAGATAAAGAATACTTGTTTTTGTAATTGCGGTCTTGTCTGGGTTATGTAGATAGATAGATGCTTGTGCCAGCCATGTTCCCATGGTAGCGAACAGAAGCAAGTTGGCCGCTTCTATGCATATGGGGCTTTCTGTGTTCATGTCAATGAATTCGTTTCGTTTGCCCGGGAAAAGCTCTGTGTTTTCCTTTTGATGTTTGTGGTACCTGGTGCGTTTTTGCAATGACGGCGTTCGTGATGGCCCTGCTGCTGGAAACCTCAAGCAACCGCGATGTTCTCGACTCGGCGACGAGGTCTCGATGCTACCATACTGCCTCCTCTATGAGCAACGCGCCTCATTTGGATTGGCTGAATTCGTATGGCCGAAACGAAATCAAAGCAAAGCAAACCTCGACGGAAGGTGATTTCCATCGTTCGATGTCATCTAGTTCTACGCTTCCTGCTCAAGGGGTGTGGGAGGTCTAACTCGCCCCTTGCTCAGCCAGCAGCCAGGCGCACGAGTTACGCACGCAGCTGTGGTAGAACAGAACAAAGGACTCGATATTTTTCTTAATGGTACAAATAATTAAAAAGTTACAGTTTGCGCGAGAAGAAGGCAGCTCTAGCTAGCTAGATGCTTTCGGAAGGAAGATTCGATTCGATTCGATTCCACGCAATCCACCAAGCCATCCGCGCACTGGAAGACTGGTGTATAGTGCGCTGACTAGTATCGTTTTGGTCCCTTTCCGCATGTCAAAAACAGAAAAAATGACGAACAAGCAAGGGTTGGAACTTGAAGAAGATGGCTGACTCCCAAGTCTCAAACAGGTGGTTGCTGCGGTTGGTGTTGTATTTGCGTCATTGGAGGCTGTGGTCCGTGATGTGAATCCACCGCTGCTGCCATTGTAGCAGTTGTTGTTGCGGCAGTGTTTGTAGGCGTGCTGTCGTATACTGTGACGACGTTTGCGGGTTGTGCAGACAACAAATCGACGTGAGTGGCAGTGTTCCAGGGTGTTGGAAAGGCTTCGGTTGTGGTTGGAAGCAGAAGAAGATCTGGTGGAATAGTCTGATCCGTTGTCGTGGCCATGACCATGGGAATGTTGTCCTCCGTATTGTCGGGTGTTGTTATTGTTGTGGCCGGCAGTGTATCTTCTCGATGCCCGACGAGCGTGGCAATGGCGGCGGCGGTTCCATCGGATGATGTCATGCTATCCGCATGATGGTTTTTGTGGTGGTCGCGGAAGAAGAAACGCCGCAAGACGTGTCGTCGTTTGATCATGACAGCGCCCACGACGACCATCATGACAATGACCATGGCCCAAATGCACGACGCCAAAATGACACCCATCTTTTGATTGTTGTTGGTTGTTGTCGCTTCACTATTATTATCCGGTCGATCATGTACATTGTCGGTATCATCCCAAAAAGAGGAGGAAGATCCATCACTGTAATGATAATTATCGTACAATGTGTGATCGTAATCGCCACAGTCACAACAGTCATGCCATTGTCGATTGATTTCCGAATCGAGCGTGTGTCCTGGATCGCAGGTAAAATGGGCACCGTTGGATCCACAAAATGTTTGCATTGCGACAGCTTGGGGATGGAGCTGCCAACAGAGTGGTCCGGTGAATTGGGTAGCATTGTGAAAGGCGCGATTGAAACTGCGCACACTGCGGGTATCCCAGTGCCATAAATTGGGTTGAAGGGATGACGCGCCTTGCGCAAAATAAGTCATGTCGGTGACCCGTGCCACATTCCATTGCTGCAATCCTTCGCCTGTAAACTGAGTGGCTTGATGAAACATGAATTTCATGGATTGGACGTGGGAAGTATCCCAGTGTTGCAAATTAGTATTGGTAGACTGGAAGGAACTGCAAAAGGCAAACATGTAGGACATGTCTGTGACTTGACTGACATTCCAGTGACTCAAATCGGCATCGAAAAATCGAGCATGAGTAAAGAGATGGGACATGTCCGTGATGGCAGAGGTATCCCAGGTGGATATATGTCCATAAGGACTGTCGTATTGAGGGTTGGAATTGCTGTTGGTGACCCAATCATGGACGGCTGTCAGAATCGAGTCGTCATCCAGGGGTAGTATTCTCGAGTTGGTCATGGAAGACTGTTGTTCTTCTTTGTCTTCTGTGTCTTGCCATGGTCCATCCATTTCTCCAAACTCTTCTTCTGCCGTTTGCAGTGATCTTGTCGTCTTGAATTCTTCTTCTTGTTGCGAGTGTGCTGGTGCCACTGATATTATTAGAGTTATTGGTAGGATGAGAGCAGTCCAAGAACAGAACCACCGGAACATGACACTTGGTTGTTTTCTTGATGAGAACCTCATTGTGGATTGATTCATCCTCTTTCTTTCCTCAGCTGCCGTACCAAATATATCGATGTAAACTAACTGTGGATACAAGCGTCAGGATGGTGTGATAAAGTTGTATGTATGAATATGTGAAGTGAAGAGCACTTGTTTGGTCTTTTATTGTTGTGGCATTGACATCTTCTCTGTTGTTTGCCACCGGGTTTTGTGAACGGTCGGATGCAAGGGAAGTCGCCAGCAAACGCGGTCCTGAAATTTTCTTTTCCAAGACCTCTAACCCTGATGAAACATGACTTGATATTCGTGACCCAACCTGTCATTGGTTTTCCTCCTACCGTACTGGTATCGAAAAAGCCGCGCCAAAATCAAACATTCTTGGCCTTGTCCTCCTCATTTATTCACTTCTTGTTTGCCTCTGAGTTGACTTGCCATTGCCTTTATCCTTTTGACCATGACAGCCTCCTCTTCTACCAAAAGCAACGGCAGCCGTACATCCAACAAGACCGAGAACAAGTTGTTTGTTGCCATTGTAGATGCTCCTCCTACTACTTGTAGTACTACGCGACAGGAAGAAACGTACCAACCCATTCGTCTAAAGTGCCCTGCTTCGGGTCAAGTAAAGGACTATCTACTACGCTCCATTATTGGAAACAACAACAACAAGAACAAGAATGGTGATTTACTGGAACTGCAGTGTCTCTCGTTGCAAGATGACTCGTCTCCCAAACAGTACAACAGTTGGTTTGTTGGTAACACGGTCGTCTCCAATGGAAAACTCTACGTCATGACACGCATCGATCCACTCTTCTTTTGTTTGCCATCACTATCACAACAAACGACAACGACGACACAACCAAAGAAATGGCAACCGCTCGATCAGCTATTGGAGGACATGGACGCAACAGTCCAACAACTTTTATTACTAGTAGACAAACGCCAACTCTTGCATCTCTGCGACACGTACGAAATGGACCAAGACGAAGTCTTTTACAAATTTTCACAACCCAAATGTCTGGAATGGCTCCATAAGAAACAACAAGCGGTACAGAAAGTACTCGTCGCACAGCTCCAAGCACAACAGAAGCGTCAGCTACAAATGGAGCGAGAGGGTGGAGGAGCCTTTGCCAAGGACTTTTCACTCACAACGACTAGCACCACTCAAAACACTAAGCAGCAGGACAAGAGCAATCACAATCCACAACTCCACAACAACAAACCGTCTGCACAACAGCAAGAAATGGCACTCCGAGAAAGCTGTCAGATTGTCTGCAGCTATATCTCCCAAGGATGGCAAACCCTCTTTTTGAAACACGTCCAACAAGACGACAAGATTTTGCAACTCGATCATCATCAACCAAAGAACAAGCGAGTCAAGGAGACACCCGTTGTCGTTGTTGTGACGGCCGAAAGCACCACTGCCAAAACGGAAGCAGCCCCACCACCACCAAAGCCCAAACTCACCTTTGGACAAAAGCAACTTCTCAAGGTCAACAAGAAGGGAATGAAGAGCATGACGTCCTTTTTTGCGCCCAAAAACAAAAAGACAACAACCACAACAACAAATAATGCCAAGTAGACTTGCTACATACGTTCTGTTCTTTCTGTTGATTGATACAATAGTTGGGAGTGACTTTTACTGCACACAAGAAGAGGGGTAGTAGTAACAATCTATTATATAGCAATGAGTTTCTGTTTCATCCTAGACTAGAACGGTGTCCTGTCATCGGCTATCTCGACCAAGGCGTGCGTCTGCTGAAAGGAAATGAAACAAACGGAAGGCGACTGTCATCGCTATGATTTCATCCACTTCTGAAAGGGCGGCGCGCTAGGACGATACCAGTTGGGTAGTTAGTTGACTGACTATGCATACTCTTTGTCGAGCTCATCGACCATCTCCTTGTTGCTCTTGTCGCCCACTAACGCATCCTTGATAAGCCATGTCATGGGAGTGTATTTGAAGAGCATCTTCATCATCCACACAGTGAACCAATGACCGGATACAGAAGCGTCACAGCGACGGCGAGCCTCAATCACCAATCTCTTGGCCTGTTGCCGACGGCGTTTCGTGTCGCACCGGGCCATGGCCCTGGGGATGGTATCCGCATCGTTGTTCTGGATGGCCTTGGCAATACGGGTAGCATACACATAGGCATCTGTGATGGCCATATTGACACCTTGGCCCAAGAAGGGGGTTTGGGGGTGGGCAGCATCCCCCAGCAATGCCACCAACTTGCCGGGGCTAGTGTAGGGGAGATCCAAGTTTTGCCGATCAAACAGACCCGTCTTGGTAATGGCATGGGCGGGAGTATGCTCCATGACGGTCTTGGCAAGAGTCCAATTCTTATCATCATCACCGCCACCCAAGAATTTGACTATCATTTCTTGCTTCTCTGGTTCGGTAAGAATACCGCCACCGCGTCGTGTCAAATCATTGGAAGTCTGAGGCGGTTCGGTAGCTTGCTCAAAGATCCCCCACAGGACTTGACCGGTCGTTGGAGCCAAAAAGAAAGTCCCGGGTCTCTTCTTTGTACCCGTACCCAAAATGACAGTGACGCCTCCTCCAGTCTTTTTGTATGTTTGCATCTGTTCCACTTCGCGTTCCACTTCGGATCCGCTAGGCATGGGAGTCTTGGCCCAATAACAGTTGGTGTTGCAAAAGTGTAGCGGATCTTCTTTTCCTTTATGCATACAGGCACGAACCTTGGAGTGAACACCATCACAGCCAAGCAATGCACATCCCGTCACGGTGGACTGGTCCGACAACGTGACCACTACTTTGGTCTCATCTTCTTCTACGTAGGATTCGACCGTGACACTGCATCTTAGAATACCTTCTTCATCCTGTGACTTGTTGGGGAATAGTTGATCCAATAGCAGTTTCTGAAGTTCGGAACGGTTTGCGGATGCCATGCGAAAGTTTTCTTCCAGATTCTTGGTCTTTTGAGTCTTCTTCCTTTTGCTTTCCTGGGCTACCATGGGGGAATCGCGGTAGACATCCCCTTCGAGGGTGCTAAACAACAATCCGCCATGGTACAACAAAATGTCGTCGGTAGTAGCTTTGAGACGATCCCCCAAGATATTCAAGGCCGTCTTGGCCATATCAAAGCCACTGCCAGCATTGGTGCAAATGCGTTCTCTGGACGCCTTTTCCAGTATTACAAAAGGGATATGGTTCTGTTGCAATGTCAACGCTGCTACCAACCCACAGGGGCCAGCGCCAACGATTATAACGGGGAGAGTGGTTCCTTTTGGCTGCATCGTTTCTGCGGCCTCTCTAGCTACGGTACCAGGTACCGGTAGCTAGCGGCATGCAGTTCTACATGTATGGCCATGACAGAGAGTGGGTGATTGTTGGGGATTTCTTCAAGGCGCGTGCACCCAGCCAGGTAGCTTTGAGGGGAACACGACTCACTGGAAGTGGTACGGGACTGAAAAGATCCAAAAAAAGGACACCGGAGGTGTAATAGATATACCGTGCGAGCTGACTTAAAAGATGGGCCGACATAGTAATATTGTTGAAGTTTGGATGAAGGTAGTGTCATTAGATTTTTCTGTCTGAGAAAGTGGCGTGGTAGCTTACGGGAGTTTAGAGGTGTGCAACATGAGACGTTTGATTTTTCCATCTGAGAAAGAAACGTGGAGCTTACGGGAGGTTGGAGGTGTGCAACGTGAGACGTTAGATTTTTCCATCTGAGAAAGAGGCGTTGTAGCTTACGGGAGTTTAGAGATGTGCAATGTGAGACGTTAGATTTTTCCATCTGAGAAAGTGGCATGGTAGTTTACGGGAGTTAAGTGGTGTGCAAATGTGAGGAAAATATTCAGGATCCGTTGCTATAAAAGAGAATGTGTAAGAAATGTGGGGGCCCAAGAGGGGGCTTCGTTTTTAGATAAACTCTAACCCTAAGGATAACCAACCAACCAAAACCAACCAACCACCACCACAATTAACGGGGTCAGAGATCACCGGGGTCTGCCCGGTATATGATCCCCTTTGAGCCACTACTGGCGCTGGTAGCTACGGTAGCCAACAGCCGCCACTCAATCAGCCACTCAACACATCCACATTATACTGTAGCATGCTCAGCCACCTTCCTCCCAACACCACTCCACACAGACCATCATCATGTCCCAGGAAGACAACAACGAGAGCAGCAATGTTCCCCGGAAAGGAGAGGATCCAGAGGCACCAAAAGGCGATACCGGTAGTAAGCCCTCACGACGAGACCAGCGAAAAAGTGCCAATCGTGCACGTCATCGGCTCTTGTCGATTCAATATGATGTTCAGCACTACTTGAGGCCACTGCTAGCGAATCAACGAAAAGAACAAGAGGAATCCATTGTCATTGTGGCCAATGAACGATGCGGTTCGTGGTATGCTCTTCCCTTGGAGCCTCATTCCTCTTGTCATTTCAAAAGCACGGATGGTCACGTGCATTTGTTCAGTCTCAAGCGACTCAATTTACCTCTCCTCAAGACGCTCCATCAGCAACAATCATCATGTGTTTGGATCGTCGATGCTTCCAACAAGAAGGAAATGCCAGACAGCTTCTCACGCACGATACCCATTTGGGCCGCGGTCCTCAATCGGATTGCCGAGCGCTACCGACGAGATGAGCAATTGCTGGAAAGCAAGTTTTCTGCGGAACAGCTTGAGCTATTTCTACCAGATTGGATCATACCCAGTGAAGAGCGTGTCAGGATGGATTCCATTATCGAGGATCGAGTGGAGGAGTTGTACCAGAGCCGTGCCATTGTCGACATTCCAGGGTTTCTAGAGCTCATGACCAAACCGTTGCGCCCCTTTTGGATCACACCTCTGCAACAATCCAATCAACTACCCACACCCGGGCAACAAGCCACTCTGTCGTGCCTTGTCTGCTGCAATGCTTCCAATATAAGACTTGATGCCAAAATGAACAGTCGGGTTGTTTGGATGGAGCAAGAACAGTTCGGGTACACCCCGGGAGCAGCCGATGATGAAGAGAGTTGGGCCCGAAAACTCACTCCACAGCTCTTTTGGGGTCAGCATGGCGACGACACGTCAACAAATACTACTCCACAACAACAAACCTTCTCATCCTCCATGACGGAACAGGAGGTAGACGATTGGATTGATCGACTGGTTGCAACTCACCAAGCACGACAAGGTGATACTGACGAAGAAGAGGTTGCCTGCTTTGATTGGATTGGGAATTTGGGAATAGCCATTGGGACACGAAGGGCGGGCAGGCCAGCTCACTGTTGGAAACACTTTGATGCCATTCTGAATGTGACCAATACAGAATATGGGGAAATACGACAACAATCATCAGAAGATGGACGTTATTGCTACTACTTGCAATTACCAGTTCAAGAGGGAAAGCGTGATAAGATCGAGCTGGAACGATGGATGCCAGTCGGGATTCTGTTTTGCGCTCTTCACGCAAGCCGTGGTCGACGGATACTCATTCATTGCGCTCAAGGTCGAGATCGATCCGTCGCCGTGGCAATGGCTGTGGTTCAACTCTTTTGCAACCTGACGTATCCTTTGGAATGGAACCGCCATCTCTTGGAGGGCACTGTGCGCGATTTGGTTGCCGAGGATGCTTCCTGTGAAGCACTACCGCAGAATGACAACAAAGACTCGGATACCGTTGCAGGCGGTCTCCTTGGCTCTGGATTGCCTCGGCACCGAGCTGACCGTTTGATCGATCATGAAGGTCGACTCTTCTTGCTGCAATTGGTTCGTGAGAAACTTGACAAGTCCCAAGACGAGCCATTGGCAAGCAAGGAAAGTCTACGGGTTGTCTTGCATCTTATCAGGCAAGATCGGGAGAAAGCGGAGCCCACTCGATCGACCCTTCAAAAGCTAAATCGCTTTTTCATGAGTGATGCCTATAAAAAGCAGCAGCCAAGCTAGTGCGTTGATGGAAACTTCCGTGCTTCTGGTGCTGCAACGTTCCCGACCAAATCGTCATTCCACTGTCCATTTTGTTTGAGTGACTACCTAGTCAAATGTCACTACCTGTATCTTCGGACCAACACCCCCCGTTGGCGTAGGAAGGGATTGCGGCAACTCACTCTGTTGCTCGTCGGATGCAAAGTCGCCTGTCAGAGATCTGTTGGTGTTTCGAACGGACCCGTCTTGCTGCCCAGAATCGTCCATCCTGCCCTTTTTGCGAATCTTTCGCACGGACAATGCCTTGGGTAACACCATCAAGCCACTGCTGCTGACTGGGAAGCTAAATGTCAACAGTGAAAGACCAATGTACCTTGCAGAAGGGTTGATTTCATTCAAGATATAAACAACTGGAGCGCCCACCAGCAAGACCAATGTTTGGGCAAAGATAAAGGCCAAAACCCACTTGGAATCAGAGTACATGCCATCAAGGCTGACAGTCTTACAAGCCATGATGCAGGCAGCTGTGACTGTAATCAACTGGAGCACATAAATGGGGACATAAAACATTGTCGGCGATTGGCTCACGCAAGCTCCAACACTTTCCCCAGTAACATCATCAATAACAATTCGCCACCAGCCATAATCAGTCTTTACTGTGAAGATCGCCAAGCAAATCAGTGTAATAACAATTACCAGTGTGCCTGGCCACAAAGCACGCCATAACTCCAGTGTGCTTGTGTTGTAGCGCAGGCATCGATCAGCCCGCCAGAGCTTTGGATGCAACAGACCATAAATGTTTGAGTGAGCCCTGCCCTCGATCTGCAAAACCTCAGCAAAACTATGCAAAACATCATACCTTTGTAAAAATTGCAGTGTAGGTCCCTATTCTCCCCAATTCATTCAGCCAAGCCCATGCGACGCAATTCCTGTCAAGGGTGGCCTCATCAAAGCCCCCGCTCTCATCAAATGACGAGAGTAGAATACAAAAGGAGAGCATCCCAGAGGCAAAGCAAAGGGCATAGAGGAAAGGAGGCTGTGCTGCCACTGTCACCGCATGGTGTCGATTGAGAACAATCCAGATGAACGAGATTCCAACAATCGCCAATGAGACGGCAAAGAGCACCAGTCCAAATGTGCGAGCTGCCGGTGTGATATAGTTCTGGTTGGGTGTCTCCCGCAGCAGTTCTGGCGGGGAATCACTTCCGCCCAGAAAACACATCCTACCGAAATTTCCACCATGGACCCACTCACCAGTGAGAGGATCCAAACTCTCAATGTAGCGCACGTCCAATCTGGTGAATCAAATTTCGTTGGAGGTGATAATGAAAAGGCAAGTTTTTCAGCACATCTCCGTGATGTAACAGTGACAGCAGGTCTGAAGACTTACCCATCTCCTTCTCCTGTGGGGCAAAGGGTGCTAACTCCATAAGGTACCGTGTCGCCTATTCTGCTCCCAGTATTGACACCATTCTCGTTGTTGAACTTGATTTGCCCTGAAGTTCCTACAAAGTCAAGGGATCGAATCGCTTTCAGATGTGTTTCTCCAGTCATGATTGTGGAAGTCCTATTTCTTGTGGCCATGCATGCCCCAAGGCCAATGGTCATCACAGCATCATACATAAACCCTGCCCCCGGCATCCACGACTTCAACTCTGATCTCAAGCTGAGAAGTGGGTGTGTATCATTGACCACACTCAGCAGGATATCAGTGGCATTCTTGACGTCGGAAATATCGGGGGTCAGTCGCAACACTCGATGATAGAAGGAAGAATCCATGTATTCCAAATGTGCACGGAAATTCACACGATTGGGATTCAGCTCATATCCATTGTAGGCAAAGAGGTAGGGAGCGCCTTGTACAAAATAGGCCCCGTGTTTTGATGCTGCATTCTCAAAAAAATTGTGATATAGTTCGCCATTTCGTGAGTGAGACCACTCTCTGATGACCCAAAAGTGTTTTCCCCGATCTAGACCAGCCTTTGCGACTGCAGGACCCAACTCGTATGTATCCTTCTGTGCAGCATGGCCCAGTAGGACAATGGTTCGAAATCCACTCTCTCGAACTTGGTCTACTGCTGTCTGGACATCACTCTCCTGTGCCCATGTCTCTTTGTATTCATCTTCTTCGATCAGGTATTGGGGAGTGTAACCGAACATTCGCACTTGATCAAATCCCTTGTCTTCCAGTGTTTTTCTCAGTACTGCAATATTCTGTAAGTTGGCAGGTGTTTCACAGTACAGAACAGCAATGTAGTTGGTCCGATTCATGTGCTGTAGATATTTCCCCACAAATTGCATGCCACTGTAGGAATCCGCATTGACGTGGGTGAAGAATGGGTGTCGTTTTGGCAGCAGTAAGTCGTGGTGAAGTGATCTGTGTGCTACCAAGGGAGATTCCAACCCTGTTGCCAAGACACTCAATTCCAGTGAAGGAATCTCATTGTACGGCCCTGCAATAGCATCTGGTGGGGGACTACCACCAGTCAGCAGCTGTCGAATGACTGATTTCATGGCAGCATGGCTGTCCACTTCTGTGTCAACAGCGCGGACCTGCTCCTCGTGGAACTTGATAGAACAATTTTCTGTGTACAGATGAAGGTCTCTTATAATAGTATCATTCCGAGAATTGAAATGATCGACAGCCAAACGAGCAGCTGCCAAATGAAAGATTCCAGGATCTAGTTCCTGCTGTCCACTGTCCAAGTCAATTGAGAGGCAGAGGGGATAAACGGAGTGAGACACATGCAGACACATTGTCAATCGATAGAGGCTGCTGTCGTTGTGTACACCCACCCGTTACTGAGAGGCACAGTAATCAGAAGAGAAAGAGTGCCATTGTGGCCTCGAAGTCTTGCACTCACTGGGTTGGCCGCACAGAGGAAGAGCAAAAGAACGAAGCTCAACATTCTTGCTGCTCTCGAAGAGGGATGGATCAAGTTTTTCATTGCCTCTTGCTCCTGACAATATGAAGATACTAGTAGGAAGAAGTTGTGATGCGGCAGAGCGTTATAACAGTCTGGTATCCGCGATACGCGATAGCGTACGAGTACCAGTGTTGGGGTGTTGGTGCATGCAGCAGGAGGCTGGAAGGGTGATGAGGGTCGTTGCTCTGTGCTCCAAGCTCCGAAGTCCGGAGCGAGGTTATTTAGGAAGGCGGGAGATCTTCCTAATTCTGACTCAGTGATTACTACGGATTCGGGAAGAACTGTCCTTTTCCAGGACCGGAAGCGGATTTGCCACCCTCCCAAGCCAATTTCACCAGACCAGAAGGCGATTTTCCATGAGCATTACTTAAGGAACATTCCCTGTTTTTAAAAGGATAGAGTCAGCGGAGAAAGATCACAGGCGATTTTGACCAGGATTCGGATTACGGCTCTCGTAGAAACCTACACAACCTATGTAGACTACTGGGAAGGAAAATCTCCTTCCGAGGGTGGGAAATCCGCTTCCGAGCATGGAAAAGGACAGTTCTTCCCGAATCCGTAGCAACAGTCACACGCTCTCAGCCAGATGACAAGACCCCCTATTAGCCTATTAGCCTGTTAGACGTTTGTTCCTGTGAAAGGGGATACACCAATAAAACCTAGAGGAAGAAAAGATTTAAAAAAGATACAGCCTTTAAAACACCTACCGGTACTCAGTACGGTACGGTATTTCAACCGTTCGAATACATTCGATTGCATTCACCGTTTCGATTGAATCATTCGATGCATTCGTTCATTCCATACATGACATTGTATTCCATTCCGCTCTGGAAGACGGAGCAGAAGCCACCCAGCCAGCACCCAGCTACCGGTAGGTACGGCATCACCCCAGCAGAGTATCATACGCTTGAAGAGTGAATTTTTAAAAAAGCAAGAAGCAGAGATTAACTAACTTAATGCTGGGAATCAGTCTCTTGCATCCCCCCCCAAAACAGCATCAGGTACATTTTTAATAATAGAGAGCTAAAGGCACCCATTCGACAGGCCAGCGATTGGAACATTCATCGAATCCCTTAATTATTATTATTTTTTGGTAGGATCGTCTTTGGCATCATCTTTCTTGGTCTCCTTGTTTGTATGCATATCTTGGTCGGACTTTGGTGGTGGTGGTTGGTTTTCATTCTTGACTGCAATGTCTTTTCTGGAGGGAAGCACTTCTAGCAGCGCCTTTTCCCAGTCATTACCATGTTCTCGGTACTTTAACAGAATTTCAAAGACGTGATTGCAGGTGAGTACCTTGGTGCCTTGCATCTTCTTCAAGTGATGTTCCAGAGGCAACCGTGCCGTGGCCAATCCGAGTTTCTCGGCTCGATCAATGGCCATCCGTGGCAATCGGTTGCGATCAACAATCCCACCAATGACGTATATTTTGGAATTGTCGAGTTCTTCAATGACAGTTTCCGAATCACTGGTGAGATAGACGATATCGTTGAGACGATTATCTGCAGCAAAGATTTCTTCCAGAGACTTGTCGCTGTGGGAAAAGGCTCGTTGGGTCCATTCGTCAAATCCCGAAACATTATGCAAATTGGCGAGTGTTTTTCCGGCCAAACTGGAAATAGTCAATTGACAAGGATGATTGTTTCGTCGATTGGATGCATAGCAGTATCGAATTTGACTGGATAAGGAACTGACTTCCTTTTTGGTCATTTGAGTTTCAAAGGAACAATCTAGCACCACTTGCCAGGATTTCTTGACGAGAGGAGCCTTGGTATTTTCCCATTCTTCCAGTCGTTTGCGTTTGCCAGCTCCATCTTGAGTCCGCTGTTCCAGCATGCGTCGTTCCTGGTCTAAATCCCGTCCTTCGGCCTTGGCTTTGGCGGCTTTGAGATCTTTTTCATGCTGCTTGCGTTTCTTCTTGGCTTCAATGGCTCTCTCCCATCGTTTTCTCTTCTTCATTTGACTCTTTGACAGAGGCTTTTCTTCCGACTCCTTGTCTTTCTGTTCGTTGTTGGAGCTGGAGGAAACGCCATTATCTGATGGCGTGGAGGCCACAGGTGGCGTGGTATCTTCCTTCTTTTCGGTACTAGTAGAGTCCTCCGTCACGGACTTGTTTCCTTCTTCACCATCACCAGCAGCTACAGACGTTAATTCTTTCGTCTCTTCCTTCTTCTCGTCAACCTTCGATGACATGGTTCAGCAACCTCCAATCTCTTCCTTGCCTTTTGGCTTCTTGTGAAGGTCGATTGGATGGCTGCGCGTTGGACGTTGGAAGTTGGGGTTTGGATCTTTTGCTGATACTTAGCGTTAGGGTTCAATCTTTGCTTTGCAAAAGAAGCAAAGTGGCGACAATGACGACGAAGGCTACCAACACAATCGTCCAAAAAGGTGAGATAGTAACCAACCACGATGAGCGTAGACCTATCGGACGAGCCTTGTCAAAATGGATCTGATGACCAAGCATTATCCTCGCTTGTACTGGAGGAGGCAGTGGCACAAAATCAGCAACTATGTGAACCCCTCTTGTCTGGCCAAGATAATAGTAGTAGTGCACAAGCAGAAGAACAACCTGCCCCACCATTACCCAGCTTTCAAGGTCTACTATTTTATCGCCTCTTGTACTTTCTGGATGGCTTGTCTGCTTCTGCATGGGGTCGTTTTGGAATCATCTATTATAACCGAATCAAGCACCTAAGTGCTGGTCAAATTGGAGTCCTACAGGGTGTGGCACCTGTTCTCAGACTGGTTTCCCAACCAGTTTGGGGATATATTGCGGACTATGTTCAGTCTCGAAAAACCATCTTTGTCATTTGCAACACTTGCTGCACCATGTTGATCCTATCCCTGTCGCACTGGAAGGGATTCTGGCCCATTCTCTGTTGTGTGGCAGCCATGTCCTGCTTCAATTCTGACGGAGTCCTAGATGCTCACACATTGGACTTTCTAGGAGAAGCATACCGTGGCATGTATGGCAGCATTCGATTGTGGACTGCCATTAGTTGGGGATTGGGTGCTGTTGTCATGGGATGGATCACTGATCAGTGGGGATTCCATTGGAACTTTGTTCTCTTTGGTACAATGATGCTGTTGATGCTTGCTGCCATTATTTTTGGATTGCCCACCAGATCCAAATCCGAGCAACAGCTCTACAATCAACTCAATACTAGTAGCAACAATCAGCAGGAACAAACAGAGGAAGAAGCCAATATCACTGCTCATTCATCGTCCAATCATCCTCAGCTTTCTGAGTTACGGAAAGCTATCCTTCGCTTGCCAGTTTGTTTGTGGCTCGCTGAGGTAGCTATCATTGGGGCGGGAATGACAATTGTGGACTCTTTTCTCTTTGTATATCTACAAAATGAGCTTGACACATCCACAGAGCTATGTGGGTACACAGTGGGAGTGACAGTTCTACTCGAACTTCCCATTTTCCACTTTAGCGAATATTTACTATCCAAGCTGGGACACGATGTGCTCTTCCTCCTATCCATGTTTGCCTATTCCACTCGGGTCATTGGGTATACATTCCTAACACCCTCAACAGCACATTGGGTACTGGTATTGGAATTTTCTCATGGCATTACCTTTGCCTGCATGTGGATTTCCTCCATTGACTATGCAGCAGTTGTGGCTCCCAAAGAATGGTCCACCACAGTGCAGACACTGCTTTCGACAGCATTGTCCTGTGTGGGTGGTGGTCTGGGGCCTGTGTTTGCAGGCTTGGTCATGGATCGATTTGGACCCTATGTGATGTTTCGGAGCATTGGAGTGGTTGTCGCAGCCCTGTTTGTTGTCCATGCCTTTGTCTATTTCACATTGAAACAAGGACATGACAGGTTTCTGCAGCAATTCAAGGCAGAACGGCTGTCGGTGACAGAACCACAGGCCACCGCAGGCCATGACAATGAGACTAGCAGCTAGCTATGGGGAGTCATCAAATATTTGAATAAAGACAATGAACGCTTCGGTTGGCAACACTTTGCTACCGGTACTACCACGTAGCTATCTAGTTGAACCAGATGACGATAGTTTTAATAGTACCGGTACCAGTAGATGATATAGATCAGTTGACAGGCGTGGAATGCCAACTGATGGAATGCCTCATGTAGAGGTACGATGTAATATTGCACATCTCCTTTTGGTGCATCCGCCGCAACCGGACCTCCCACGTCCCACTTCCATATGTGCATTATAGATATGGGGGGGTCTAGCTGTCTAGTAGAGCTGTCTAGCTAGAGTAGTCTACTACTACTAGGGAAGTTATGTCCATGCTGTGGCTTGTTCCTTGCGATTAGGGGTCATGAACGGAGGACCAACTCGGGGGCCAAAGGGCTTTACTTTGCGGGATCCTCTGAGACGCAAATTATTATTGTTATTCCTCAGGATTTTGTGTGTTGCGTCGTCGAACAAATCCGATTGGGTGCTATGACGAAGCGGCATGGTTGGTTGCTGCGTGCTCTCTTGGTCTTTGCCCTGTTCTTACATTACCTTCGTGGAAATGCTCGTAGACGGTATGATTTAGAGAAGGCGCGACGGAAACGATGGCATGTGGCGAGCACCCCGAATGATTGTACTAGTGTGGGTGGGGTGGCAAGGCGTCTTGGTCGCGCCGTTGAGGAGGCTATGGAAGAATCGTCTCGGCATCAATGGGGGATTCATGTGACGATTCCATCCAAGGTGTCGGGTTTGGACCAAGACCAGCAAGCATCCTTTGATGTGCCTCATCTTCTGTGGGTAACGAATACCACTTCTGTGGGTGACATGGAATCATTTTTCTTGGCAGTTTTTCATGCCAACGTCGGCGGAGATTCGGAATACACAGGCCAGTACCAAGCCATTTATGTAGCCCGAAGCAATAGCATTGATTCTCCGGGCCAAGTCCCTTCGAAATGGAGGGTGCTGTCCAAATTGGCCACCAGAGGATCCATGGGTTACTTGCATTGGCATCCCGACGGAAAACAACTCTTCTTGGCCTACGAACTCGAAGACTTCTTGCATGGAAATACCATTGCCATTCGTTTGTATCCATCCTTACAAGCCCTGATTACTTCCTCATGGTATAATGAAGTCCAGTTGAAGCAACGAGTCAAGATATGGCCTTGGTTCTTTCTCCCCGTTCCGGTGGTCAGCGTGGGCACTCCAACATTTTCCAAAGTAGTAGTGCAAGACAAGAAAACAACAATTTACCTTCGGTTTTATTACTACCTTTGGACTGACTTACCCGGCACGGGGATTGTGAACTTCCAACCGCCACACGATAATCAGCAGCAGCAGCATGTACTCAAAGGATACAGCTGGAATGCCAAACAAGATGATACCGTAGTGACCGCACTACGCAAGCTGCAAGTCATGGGCAAAATTGGTCAACGTGCCACTTTGCAACATCCATCCGACCACAGCAGTAGCTTTCTGCTGTTTGAAGGGAAAATGGCCAATGCCGACGAGCAGTATATTGGTTGGCTCAGTTGTCGACCAATCCTCTACGATGCATCTTCTCAACAAGCGGCAATCGTGCCGCTTGCATTGCCCCAGCAGTTGCAGACATTTTGCAATCCTACAATTACCTATATCCAGGGCAATGACGACTACTGGGCCTTGTCTTTTTTCGTTCCAGGAGAACCTTTTCGAGATGGACTGCCTGAAACCTACGCCAACTATACTCCGGTTGAAAAGTGTCCTACCTGCGCCGCAAATCCCATGCAGAAGGCAGAAAGTCCTGCCAAAAAGGGAGCGCTGTTGGTCATGATCAAGGTGGATTCTGTCTTTCCGTCGCCTTGTTGATTACTACAGTACTGTATGAACAACGGAGGTTGCTCATATGGATCCTTTGCGCGTCAAGGCATGGTCAAGTGATGCAGTTGGCACACGTCTACCTTACCTGCCAAGGAAGTTCCTACGGTTGTCATAGCCACATTGCTGATCAACAGAGGCTGCAAAGGATTTTGTATGCGCACCGGTTACATTGGCAGCTGGGCAAGCAAGAAGCAGCCAGCATCAGAGGTTACGGCAAACAACTGGATTCAGCGTGCCACAATTGACCTGGAATCGACGGAAGCGGAAGAAATCGCATGGGGATGGTAGGGATGGTGCCGGTAGAGATGGGCCAACGAAGCAGCATGCGGGCGTTTCGGCCGGTCGCAATTATCGAATGTGTTGTACCTCATCCAGGCTTCACAGAGGCAACGGTACGACAATCAAAATGAAGCCAGCGCACACTTACTTGTGCTATAGCATAGCGAAGCTGGCATAGGGCTCACCTGTGCTTGCTCGGACATCTAGGGTAGCTTGGTGCAGGCACCTAACTTAGCTTTGTAGTGTTGGGATAGGATCGTACTTTGCTCCTGCGCCCGTCAAGATTCGATTCCTCTAAAAGACGCTGCAAGAATCCCTCGCTAGCTAGCTAGGAGCTGGTAGCTATCCAAGAGGCCTCGAAGATGGGCATCGATCCTGCTTCGGAGTAGCATATGTTCGTCTGTACATGTGCCACTCGTTGCGATTCAAGAAGAACAATGAGCTGCAACTCCGAGCACAACAAACTTCAACCCAAGAAACCTTTGTGCACGTGACTCCGAGATAGACTACTTCAGAAGCTGCAGTGTGCATGTGTGCATTGATACTAGTACCGCGAAAGACGAGTCCAGATATATTGATGGACAAATATGTCGCTCCACTTACGGTGCTACCGGTGGCTACGACTGTACTAGCCTTCCCAGGAGGATACGTCGTGCGCAGCACTCGAATTTCTTTGGCAACTCCATCATGCCTTTTACTTCGCCCGAAGCCGCCAGCCACGCACTCGTTCCTTTGTGACGAGCGGCGCCATCATTATAGTTTGCAGCACTCCTCACTACCGGTGGACTGCCCCTATACTAGCTATCCTGATGGCCATGCCACTCGATAGCTTGTGCTTTGAGACCACCAGCTCGTACTCTAGCTAGCCAGCAGTACATCTTCCACTTGTAATCGAGAAAGGAATTTGCAACTTTTACAAAAAAATTTACGGACACTGTCTAAGAGACTGTCATTCCCACAAATGCTTTAGTTGAGACAATCTGCGCAACCCCAAGTACACCCCTTCAAATCTGCCCACCCACTTGCGTGTACAGACCAGAGGGGCCGGTAAAGCTGCCCAACGCAATCAATTGCATCTTTGTGATGCTTGCCATCTTTGATGGTAAAATACAAGCATTCTGGATCATTGACGACACGCTTGTTCGTTCTTGCAACGGGAGGATAGTGGGCATAGGCATATGGCTCGCCTGTGTGGGTGGCACTCACATTAAGTTCTTCCACAACAACTTGCCCTCCTCCGTTTTCCTTGATGGACTCATACTGAAGGCGAATGTCGGGAAAACTCTTGTGGATCTTATTCAACTCAACTGCAAAGAACTTTGCCGTATTGATTGGAGACTCTTCAAACTGAACTTCAACACCATCATCTGCAAAGAAACCACAAATTTCTCCCACCGTGGCAGCCGTGTTGTTCCAAGCGTCCATGAGCCGGGTAACAATTTTTTCATTGGTTGTGACATGCTCCTCCACGATGTCTGGAATGTCAGTGGCATTGGTAGCTGCGGTGTCACTGCTCAGACTGGTGCTGGAAACAGAAGTATCACAGGTCACGTCTGAGGATGGTGGAGCTTGCAACTTGCCACCAATCTGCATGTACAAGCCAGGCCCCCCATTCATGTCTCCCAAAGAAATGATTTGCATGACAGCGATCTTGCCATTCTTGAGGAAGAACAGGAACCTTTCAGGGTCATTGATAACATGCTTGTTGGTGGTTGGAACCGGAGGAAAGTAAGCAAAGCCATAAGGCTCTCCTGTATGAGTGGCACTGACTCGAATGCTCTCCACAAACACTTGCCCAGGGCTCTCCTCCTTGATCGTCCCATGCTCAAAGTTGATATCAGGAAAGCTCTTGAATATCTTGTCAAGATCAAACATGAAGATCTTGGCTGGCATATCAGGGGTGTCCTCGAGCCGGAGGGGAGATTTTTCAGATTAAAAATAGCTGAGACTCTCCTCCATCGAGCAATGTCGGTTCCAAGCGTCCATGTAGTTTGCTACCACCTTCTCATTGGGTGTGCACTTCTTCTTCTTGAAAGAGGGTGCTGCAAAAAGTTTCTTGACAATCTTCATGGTCATGGTTGTGTTGGATGGATGATGGATGGATATCCATGGAGAAGTTGCTTGGAAAACCTTTGTCTCTGGGGAATTATGAGAAGTGCTGTGAGAAGCATAATAAAGGAGAATGGAGCAGAGAGCAGAAATAGGCTACCAATAGGAGTGATGGAGAAGATTCAAGTCATTCACCCTAATTAAGCCAGCGGAGCTGTGTAACCTCGGCAGAAAGGTTTCAGTGTAGAAGCAGATACCTCTATTAGCTAGCTAGCTCTAGCTAGCTAGAAGCAGATACCTCTAGTGCTTAGCTAGCTAGTGCTTAACTTGCGCTTAGCTAGCTAGAAGCAGATCCCCCCTAGCTAGAAGCAGATTCTCATAGCAAGCTAGAAGCGGATACCCCTAGCTAGCTAGAATACAAGTTATATCTATGATAGCTTTCGCTGGCTTTAGAGTTTTTCCTGGTAGAAGCAGATCCCCCTAATAGGGTGCATGTAAATAGCTTTAGCTGGTTTAAAGCACCATCCTAGGATACTTATTTAGTTTTTGCTGACTTATTTGTATTCTAACCCTACCCTTATACCTGCAGGGACCACCGTAGCAGGAAAAACAATTAAAGGGGTTGAGGGCTCTGGCAGCAAAACTGCCGAGGTAAAGCACCGGTATCTGCCAGTCCAAAAGAGTACTACTAATACATGTAGTACTAAAGTGTTCTGCCACTGTGCTGCCAGTGAGTTTCATTTTTCCGTTGTAGTCTACCTGGTACCGTACTCTAGAATCGAAGATTCCCTGCCACCGCCTCAGCTGGGGCTGGGGCCTTTGTGACTAATGTAGCTAGTAAACAACCTACATAAGGGTTTGCCTTGGTAGGTACAAGCTAAGGAGTGGCTCCCATCTCACCAGGGAGATGGGAAACCAAGATTAGTACTACTAGCTTCTAGAGCCAGTAGCAGCCGACGCTGCTCGGAGAGCAAGTTCGCGCCATAAGTCACAGAGGCGGCTAGCCAGCACAGCTGGAAAAAAAACTAGGGGCGATTCATTCCCGAGAAACAAAAGTTTTGCTGAGGGAATCGACCGTTGTACAACGAAGAAGGGTGGAATCGTGGTAACCCCACGAAGCCACAAAGTTCGTTGTGCAGAGGAAAACTCAGGCACAACTCAGAGGACCGGCAGAAATACTG